ACCAAGTTCCCTGCCAGAGATTACAAATGTTTTTAGGTGGGTTTTTTTGTTTGTTCATATTTTCAGTCTAAGTCTAAAATCTATAAGAACACATTAGTAACTTTTTTCCCTACCAAATGGTAGCAGTCATGTAGTGTTCTTCACCTTGCCTTTTCCACATGAACAGTCTGTCTTGAAGATTATTTCTTATCAAGAACTGCATTACTCATCATTATTGCATAGGTATTCCATTATATGGAAGTGCAAATGTACTTAACCATAATGATGGACTTCCAATTGTTTTTATTCTTCTGCTGTGTAACGGTGAATAATTCTTGATGCATATTTCTGTGAGTATGTATGAGAATGTGTCTGTGGGATAAGTGTATTTAAATTTTTGATAAATAGTTCTTAAGTTGGCCTCTATACAGGTTATACTGCATTTGCTTGCCCGCAAGAGATGTGTGAAAGTGTCTTTTCTCAACAGTTGCCATAGTGTATATTTTGCAGTGTTTTTTACTGATTTTCCAGAAAACATTTTATGGGTATGTCAGATAGTGAAGTGTTAGACAAATTTATCTTTGTAAAATAGCAACTTATTTCATTTTTAATTCATTTCTATGATTGAAAGTAAACAGTGTTTGTATATTTAAATGCTGTTTATTCCTGTCAGCTCTGTTGTTTTGTTGAGTTGTCTTATTGAGTTTTTTTCCTTAATGAATTATGGGAGCTCTTTTATATATAGAAAATTAGCTCATAAGTCATAAATGTTTTCATGAATTTTCATTTGTGCAGTATTTTACCATTGTAATAGTAATTATCCAGTTAATTTTTTCCATAGTTTGAAAGACTTACCGATCTGAGATTATAAAAATATCCCTTGTTTTTTTCTAATGCCTTAATAGTTTTTTTTTTTTTTTTCATTTTGTTGGTTTCTAGATCATTTGCCTATTTTTAATTCATATGGCACTTCTTTGGTGTGAGAAGTAAAATAGGATGCCTACTTGACTTCACTGAGTAAAACTAGTTCTCCAAACTTAGGTGAAATATCTTTAGTATATAAAGGCATTCCCATGTGTTTTTTTGGGCTGATCCGGACTCGGTTCTCTCTCCATTGATCAGTTTCATTTCATTTGCCTCTTCCTTCCTGTTTTCAAGTAATTTTATATCTTAGGAGTTTGTCAAGGTTGTTGTTTAGATTCCCTCTCATGTGCATTATTATTCATTTTCAGAATGTTCTGTAGATTCTGTTTATTTTTTAATATGTGCTTTAGAATAATCTTCCTGGTTCCAAAATATGCTTAACAATTTGTGGAAAAATTAGCATCTTACTAATACTGAATCTTCCTCTGGAGCTCATCATTGTATTTTAAGTTCTTCAATATTTTTTTAATTCTCTAAGAGTGCTTTAAAGTTTTCTTTATGTAGATACTATATATTGCTTATTAGCTTTTCCCTGATAATTTCACTTAATTACTAATTTAAATGTTACTTTCCCTCATTGTATTATTTCATGATTGTATATGGAAAAACTATTCATATATTTTTATTAAATATGTAACTGCCATTTTACCAAATTACCAATTTTGTTTGCTTGGGTTTTTCAGGTATTCATTCACTCATGTCTCTTAAGTAATCCTTCACCTCTGTTTTCTACATTGTATACACAGTGCTTTCTGTTATTTAATAATACCTTTAGAAAAATGTTAAGTAACATTACTATTTTAAGACACATTATTTTCTTACTCATAAATTGTTACTGTTCTTAGCTTATGAAATAATGAAAAAGATAACTTCTAGTATTTGTAGTATTATGTATGATGCTGACTTTTTAGGTTAAGATAGAATACAAATGATTCCTGTTTTATTAAAAGTAGAGTTTTTAAAAATTTTGATTAAAAATGAATTTGGTCATCGTTTGTGTATTTAAAGAATGAGTTTTTTCCCTCCTTTCATCTATTTATATTGTTTCCTAATGAACTAATCATTCACTTTTGGCATGTCTCATTTTATTTGATAAATTGCTGAAGTCTGTTCTTTTTTAAATTTTTAATTAAATTAACACTTTTTTCTTTCAATTTTCAGAGGTAAGTTTGGTTTGTATATTTTGGGGTGGTAATATTTTCATCGAGTATTGTTGTTCCCTGTTTCACAAAAAATAATTGAAAAGTTTCTATTTTTCTTTGTACATTTTCCTAGGGGTTAAGTCTCAGTGCTGTGACCTGAGTTCCATCCCCAGGCAGGGAACTAACCCACATATGGCACAGCAGACCTCTCCTATCATGCCTGCTATTCTCCTTAGCAGTGTATTTCAGTAAATTTGCCTGTTCTGCCTCCCACTCTGTCTTTGGTGAATCCTCTTACCCCCTCCATTTCTGGCCTACATCCCAAATCTACATGCACACACACAAAAAAATTAAGTTTAATAGAATTCATGTGAAACTCAGGGTCTAATGATTTTTAGATCATGCATCTTTTTAAAATCTTTTCTATGGGAGTGATTTATTTAGGGTTTTTTTAATCCTTTCTAGCTTTTAAAATAACCTTTTCCTCTACATTATCAACTATAACTGTATTGATATGAGAAAATTTAATTTTATCTTACTCTGTAATTTCCCCACTTCCTTTTCTTAATTTGTATATTTTTACATTTAGCCCCACTTTACCTTTATGGACACCTCCATGTTGCTAAAATTGGCATCCTATAGAAGTATATTTGAACATCATGTTTTTATTAAAATTTTACAAATATTTATAAAGTTTGTTTTTTAAAGTACCTTTTAACTAAATGCTTGTTTAACTCCTGAGCAACTGCCACAGTGCATTGTTCTGAAAATCACTAATCTAATCATATTGTTTGATTAGTAATAAGGCAGTGATACTGGAGTTGACTAAAATATTCCAAAGGTCCTAAGAGCAAAATAATGTAGATGACCGAGAATATCCTAAAAAGGATGAGGATTGGTACTGAGTTCATTATGAAATAAAGAATTAAAAAATGTAATACCAGCATAAAATAGATCATAGGACAAAAGTTAATTCAGAAATAAATTATACACAGGATTTTAGTCAATTGGAAAGGGAATGCTTTGTTTAAATCAGGCTATAAAACTTTATTGTTTAGTGTTAGGACAACTGGCTTATGTCTTTATTTTTTACATCAGGATAAATTGAAGTTGGATAAAAGATTTTTCTGTTTTCCAATACAGAAGACTAGTAAAAATAAGAGATTTCTGAAAATAATCTTTGTGTGGAGAGGGCTTTGAAAGACCTGAAACAGTATCCAGGAGCCATAAAAAATAAATATTTCAGTACATGAATATTGAAAAAAAAACTTCATGGCACAAACAAAAACAAAAGAACTCCAACAATCCCCTTCCCAGCCAATACAAACATACATCATAAAATAGGAATATGGTTAACAAAAAGATACTTTTCCAAAACATGACAAAATCCATTTAAGAAATTGGTTTAAATAATGTTAAATACACAGTATATATAGCCATTTAAGAACAATGACAAATCTGTTGTTCTGGATATGGAAAGGATCTATCAAAGTTGGGTTAATATAAAAAGAAAGTTGTAAAAAGAGTGGTCTGAAGTTTTTGGATTTTTAAAAAAGTGAGTCGCAGAATTTTTAAGAACTCGTAAATATTTTGTTACAAATTTCCTGAAAAAATTGCACCTTCTGAGAAAGAATTTATTAAAAATTTCACAGCCAAATACCCAAGAGTTTCTAATGAAGCAAAATTAAATACATACAGGTTTGAAAATCATCGTATAAATAATTTTAAAATTTAAACTCTAAAAAGAGTTGTTGACCCAGTTTATAAATTTTAATTTATGTGGATGTATAGATATCTACAAAATTAACTGAGAAATTTGCTAAGAAATGTCAGTAATGATTTTTGCTTTTTTTAAGGTGGATAAAAACAGTTACATGTGTAGGTATTTTGCATGACACAGTTGTAATTCCTTTACAGTAATATATTTTTAATCATAGTTAAATTTTCAAAATTGCAAGTTGTTTCTGAACTTAAGGTTTTTTTAAGTTATATGACACTGTGATAAGGCCATGGACTTAAAACTCCTGATACATAATTTTAATAGGCACGGACTATTAAATTTATCATAAATTGATATGTGTGGATTTAAAATTTATATCTGGGGACTTTAATATTGCACAACTTATGGTCAGATGTCATTGAACATGTAATTGTTTCTACATTTCATATTATGCTGTACTTTGAAATTGTGCTATAAATCTTTTGTGACTATGAGTTATTCGGTATGTTGCTAACATTGATTTATGTTAGTTCATGTTACATTAATTTGAATGTACTATTTCCAAGCCAGCCACTTAATATTAGCAAGTACTTAGACTTGATTATGTACTGTTTAAGTTTTATCACAATCAGTTCTAAAGCCTTTGTAGGAATTACTTTAGTTTTCAGTAGGAAAGTTGAGCATTTTGTTTTCTTTATGGAGATACTTATATTTTGTAATAGTGGTACATCATATATTTGATGGTATTTGTGGTCTTTTTATATAATTTGAATATATACACATTTATATTTGTTAAGCGTTTCCTTGTTCATAGTTAACTATGTACCCTGTAAATTAACAAGAATTAAAATGCAATAAAATATATTTAGCTTATTGATCCTAATGTAGACTTTGATTCAAAATCTACAGTCAGGTTCTTAAAGTGCTTTGGGGTTGTTGCCTGAATAGCAATTATTGTTGTATTGCAAGTAGGTAGACATAGCTATTATAGTCACTTAGGGCCAGTGTTCAAATAGCTCTACTTATTTTTTTCTTGTTATAGAAAGTAAATACACATAAAAAGCAGATTAGTTTATAATTATAAATAGTAAATAGAGACATAAATAACCACATGCATATGAATAGATGACTATCTTGACTTGTGTTTAGCAAATTTAAGTATTAAGTACTATAACATTTCAATTTTTTCTTCAGAAATAATTAATGCTATATATTCAATATTCTTAATGTTTTAGGCTGCAGTTCATGGAGCTCGTTTCAAAGGGCAGGATCTAAAACTGGCATGGAATAAACCAATAACTAATATTTCAGCTGTTGAAACGGAAGAAGTTGAACCGGATGAAGAGGAAGTATGTTTTTTTTTTTAATTTGTTTTTTTCCCTTACATGCTTTTATATAAAATGTGATTTTATGGCTATAATTTTAACATAAAATTTTTATTCCTGAGGTGTATTCTAGGCAGGGCATATCAGATAAATGCAGACAACTTAAAATTTCTGGATTGAGAACTGTGGATTGCCAAAGCAAAAAGAATATACGAAAATCATATATGTATATATACACACACATATATGTATGTATGTATATATACACACACACATATATTCAGTTTTCATTTACTCTTAGAAGACAATAATTATTCATTAGATTTTTATCCACAGGGAATCTTGTAATATTTTAAGTTTTAGAGTATATATTCTACTCAGTTGCTTTATTAACATTTCAGGTTTCCTTTATTTTAATTCATACCATTTTAGTTACTTAGAATGAATACCTGTTTATATGGTAGAAACTGTGATAGATACAAAATGAATAAGACACGGTCCCTATCAAGGAGCTTATAATCTGGAAAGGGGGTGGTGACAGACACATAAGAAACTAATTATAATAAAAGGTAGAGTGTTAAACTAAATAATAAAGATTTGAACAATATGCTGTGGGACGTCAGAGGAAAGAATGATTATTTCTGTCCAGAAGATTCGTGAAGGAGGTGGTGACAGTGGAGTTGAACCCTAAGTGATATAAAAGCTTATAACCTAGAACTGGGCTCTGAATGTAGATGAGAAAAATCATTTTAGGTAGGGGGTAGTTCTGAAAAGATGTTTTTCTTGAGTAATGCAATTAGTCTGATGACTGAGAGGTGTGGTTATAAAGAATAATAGTGAGAGAGCCCTTTGAAACTAAAAACTTGTTTTTGTTTAATTGTGAAGTAAACTGTGGAAAAACAATTGAGGAAGTTAATAAATGAAGGTAAGGTGTGGGAACTTACCTAGGTTTTTATAATCGCACTTCATTTTGTTTGAAGAGCTTTTAAGGCTGTTACACATATCCGTAGTCAAATGCAAGAATAAAATGTATATTTTGAAACTCATATACATGATTTGTCATTTTATATTTTAGATTATACCTTTGTCCTTCCATGAGTTTGAATTCAATGGGGAGAAAAGCAGGAGAGCTCCTGGTATTAGGTATTTTGAAAAGTTTGGAAAGTAGTCTGAGAAACTTTTATGAAGGGAATGGGGAAAAGAAAGGAATGTTATAAAAGAAAATGTTTTGTTACAGTAGAAGAGAAATACAAATCTTGATAGACTTATACAAGTTATTGATTAATTTAGTGTCCAGGGTTAAAAAAGCTAAGCCATAGAAGATTCATTGATATTTTCTTTTAAAATAATAGGAAAAAAAAGTTTTGAGGTATGTTTTATAAGTATAAAAGATGGCATAATTTAATGAAGAGGCAGGAGAAATGGCATGTACAAAGGTTTTCTCTGATATTTCTTTAGTGCTTGTTTGATACAAGCAATAGGAGATTAAGAGAAACCACTGAGTGGATAAAGGTTGATTTTCTCTATTTCTTGAATGTTCTAGCTATAGAATACCTTTTGTATTCAACTCTGTTGAGAGAAATCAGTATTTTAAAGTGTTACCTTTTTCTTTTTTTTTTTTCTTTTTTTTTTTTTTTTTGGGTAAATTCCTAAATGCATTTTAACCTAAAGTTTCAGGAAGAGTCTTTGGTGGATGACTCATTGCTTCAAGATGATGATGAAGAAGAAGAGGACAATGAATCTCGTTCTTGGAGAAGATGATTTGACTGATCATTGATCTGCATATGCTAGAACTCTACCTGTGTTTCATTAGTATTATCTAATGTACTTTTACATATTTGTAAAAACAATTTTTGGTAAAATGTGATGAAGATGGATTTCACAAATAGACAAAAGAGAAGAAAACTACCTTCTGATCCTGTATTTTGAAAGATTGATGTTTGCGTTTTATTTCAGTAAACAGTTGCTAAAGACATCACACTAGAAACATATGCAATGTTTTTATTACATACTTCTACTGAATATTACAGAATTCTTTGGGTTCTTTGTAATTTAATGAATAGGTCTGAACACTTATGACCAATACTTGTTATAACTTAGAGAATTTTGTTTTACTCCAAATAAGGAATGAATTTGCATTTAAAATCTTAATGAATGTTTTCAAAAATGAATAGATAACATAGTACTCTAACTAAAGTCTCCCAAGTTATGTATTCATAATATTACATAGTAGTATGCTTAGGCTTTACTATGTATTAGCCTTTTGTTGGACTTGTGTATGTATTTTACCATGGGTTTTAATGATAATGGTGTATGACTGCTTTGCATATGAGTCCTTATGCATTCAGATGTTAAAAATAAAGTGGAATGGTCTCTCAAAAAGAAAAGAAAAGAAAAAAAAAAAGCACTGACAAAAAGAAAGTACCAAGACAATGTTCCTTGATTTAAAAAAAGAAAAAAAAAAAAAAGAAAAGAAAAAAATATTAAAATAAATAGACCATTCCAGATGGTGATCTACCCTCCCCCCCAATTATCACAAAAGGAGCTATAATCACTAACTTATTCTTAATAATGATGGTTTCTGGTACCTTTACAATAATGTGCAATCCAATGTTTAAAATTTATTCCACTTCAGTTCGGTTTGATCCTATAAATTTTCAACAATGTCTTAAAATTTAAAAGCAGGCTCTGATTAGTTTGGAACCAGACTTCAAGTAGAGCTAACATTTGGTGAATAAGAAAACATCACATTACATTTTGGATGTATGAAAGAAAACTTGACCATTTGAAGATGTATGAATAAAGAAATGTACTATAGATACTACTTTAGGAAAACACTGTTTGGTAAGTGCTCCAGTCTGATATTTTAAGTGTGCATTTCCTATACTTGTATAAAAATCTTACACATTTGCAACAATATTGAATATTCAATTGTGATTTTTAGTGAATTTCTCTGGCAAATGAACATAATCATTGAAAGTTGACACTGCATTTTCTGTTAAATAAATACATTCTTTGTAGAATGAGGGGGTAGGATATTATATATTCACCTTTTGAAATTCATCATTTTGATTGCAAGTGTTTCTGCCCCTCCTAAGATTGTAGTGATTATATTTAAAGTTACATTAAAAAAAATCACTTCCCATACTGGGATCCTCACAATCACAACTTCACTTCTACCACTGTAGTCTTCTGCTAATGGAGTAACTAGTGGATACTATTCTTCTTTCCTTTTTTCTCCCCACACTCAGGGTTAAAGTTGTATATATATTGTCTTGATGGTAATACTGTTTCATAGGAATGTTTGGCTTGCAGTTGGTGCACGTTTATATTTAATATTTCAAGGTCAGATTTCTTTTGTCAAAGTAGTGACTTGTCTCAAGAACGTCATTATTAGACTTAGATATATAATATATTTTTATGTAGTCTCTTATATGTTGACTATGTGCTATTCTGAATCATTAGGTAAGTTTGTTTTCTTTTCTTTTTAGTAGTCGTGAAAGGTGCCAAATTGGCAGAGGCTCACGTTTCTTCTCTTAACACCAAACAGGTATTATAAAGAAAGTAAATCTTTCAAAGGCCAGTTAAACCTCCATGCTGATTTTTGGCTTTAAAATTTAATTAGTAGAGTTTAGCCTGATGCTCTGAAATTATAAAATTCCCTTATAAATGAAATTGCCTATTTATTTAAATCAATAAATAGCTAATCACTTCCCCTAGTCTCAAAGTCTGTAGTAAACTAAACTAAAAATGCTTTAAAATTTGTCACTTTCAAAGAATCAGAACAAGTATGTTTTGATTTGGTCTTCGTGTATGGGGATTAATTATTAGCAATATTCATTAGATTCACAGTTATTTTTTATCATTAATATAATTTTAATTCTAAATATTGTTCAGTATTTACTTGATTCTAAAAGGTAATGAGTATGTTTATAAATACTAGTACTATATTTGTACTTTTATGTGTTCTCATTTAAAACTGAAGATATCTCTTTGAGGTAGTTGTTAATTCCCATTTTACAGATAAGGAAACTTAGGCTAATAGAGATGAGGTGACTTGGCCAAAGTCACAGTTAATAAGAGGAAGTACTAGATTTAAATGCAGGCATTCTGATTTCATTATCAACTTGTTTAACTCTACATTGCAGCCTCCTTTCTAATTATTGATTGAGCATGAAATTGTGTGGAAAATGTGGTAGTACATGCACAGACTTAGAAAATTTCTTGGTCATTAGCCAGTTCATATCTTTGCCCTCCCCTTTAATACAGCACTTTGTTCATATCTCTGTTATAGTACTTATGTTGTAATATAATTTATCTGGTTTATATGTCTGTCTTCCCCACTAGATTACAAGCTCCTCTAGGAAGGGGACCATGTCTTATTCATCTTTTTAATCTGTAGTGATTGTCACAAAACCTGGCTCATAGTGGGCACTCAGATATTTATTGGATGAATTAGTGAATGAATGCATATTTGAATCTCCAATAATGGAGTGACAATTACCTCCCTTGTTAATTCTTATCAATTTAAAAAAAAATATCAAAGGTCTTAGTCACTGGGACCATTTTACTAAACAATTGATAGATACAGTTAAATATCACATCAGTGGGGTTACAAATGCACATATAGTCTTAGCATGAGGATTTCCATAACACTAATAAGGCCTTAATATTTTGGAATAGTAAGTGTCATGGTCAGTTCCAGGAGTAAAATAGCCTTTTGGATACTATCATTGCATAAGAATAGGACTGCTGAGAGCCACGAATCTAGTCCATCCCACTAATTTTTTATGTCTAAAGAAGACCTAGTGTAGAGTATTGGACAAGGGTTAAGAGATTTAGCTTTTGGTCCCAACTCTGCAACTAGTTCTTTGGACTTAGACAAGTCTTTTACCCAGAACTGTTTCCTTGTCTGTAAAATGAAAGGGGTTGGACTAGATAATCTCTAAAGTCCCTTTCACATCTATAGCTTGCCTGGTGGTACATTAGTGTTTGATATAAAATGTATCTACACCAATTCTCCCTATGTTGTTTGTTTTAGTTTCTATCATTAATGGAGACAACTTAGATTTTGACAGTTCATATAATGGTCATACAGTTCATATAATAGTTTTTGCAGTTTTTTTAATATAGTGTTCTCAGATGCTTTCCTTTTGTGGCACAAATTCCATTGAACCTATATATATTAACTTCTGTACTCACTAGTACTTCTTCCTTTTTACTCTAAACTCAGTGTTTAAAGTTATTTTCTATTACATTATGCTACCAAAAACTTGAAACATTTTTAATTTTTAAAATTATCCTAATAATTTCCTTGCTTTAGTATAGCTGTGGACTGAGTTGGAAGTTAAAAAAGGAGTACAATGTATTGATAGATAGCTACTTCATACAGGAAAAAGTTAGAAAAATTACCTATTACTGGTTTAAAAGATTGATTAGGATTACCTCAAGGGATGGTTGTCATTTTACATATTTTTACTCACTGTTTTCTGTCTCTACTAAAGTAGTGTTGTTTTAAATGCTATTGGGTAATTGTAACATTTTAAAAATTAACTTTAGTATTTAAGATGCCCAAGCATCTAATGGAAACATGTTGCAGGAATTGGGGAGTGTTCCATAGCTCTTGTTTTACTGTAATGTCATCAAATGTAACAGCCATTAGTTTAAAGAAAAAGCTTCATTGTTTTCAGCTGGTTACCTGTAGAAATTATGACTGAGCTTAATTGTAGGAAATTTCTTATTAGAACTGTTTCATGGGACTGTATTTCCAATTTTTCTTGGAATAGGAATCATTGGCTCTAACAGTTACAAAAAGAAAGCAAAAGAAGTTGCTTGTTTAATGTATTGAAATTTCAATGGTTATTTTAGAGTGTTATTCAATCTATCAATCTCTATTTTCTTTTTTTCTCCTTACATATACTGTGAACTAACTATAGAAAATTAGTTCTTATAGAATTTATGTAAATATTGGTAAGCATTTTTTATTCACTTAGAAAAGTAAGTCTATTAGTCTTTTATAGCAAAAATATCCTGTGCATGAGATTCTGGCTAATTGTTAGTTCACTTTTTGGTATTTCTCAGTGTTTTTCTTGTTCTTCTAAAACCTTATAAATTAAAAATGGAAATTTAGGATTAAGTCATCAGAGTACAATATTTGTAAGGCAGAAAGAAAATTTCCTTTTCCCAGATCTCAGGAACTACCTTGTTCTTACTAACTTCTTGAACTGGCTAGTTGCTCTAAGGTATGTATACATGCTCTTAGAGAAGAGTAGTTTCTTATTTTTCTTTTTTCTCACTGATTGGTATATACCTATCAGAGGTCTATATGTATAATTTTCCAAAATAGTTATTTGAAAGTCCTAGGAGAGAGAGAAATCTTGGTGAATATGAATAACATTAATTTCTGATGAAAACATTATATTCTTTTAGTAAAAAAAAAAATTCCTAATAACTTTTTTGCACTTTATCAGTATTGTGTACTCACTACTTAATGTAATTGAAAGAATCTTTTATTTGAATTTTTTGGTGTCAACTTTATATATTTGCTGCTTCCTAAATCTGTCCTCGCTCCCTCATTTCTTTATTTTATCCTATCACTCATCTTCCCATCATATAAACAGTCTCATTTTGATACATTCCTTATTTTTGTTGTTGATCATTGTACTTAGTATAGAGTTTGTCATATCGCATGATTAAAGAATGAAACAATTATCATATGGAGTTCAAAGAAATTAGATATACCTTGCAATTACTATGAAGTCTTTTGGGGAACTTAAGAAGATTATTCTCATTTTTATATAACAGATCTTGGAATTTGTTCATGATTTCTTAAAGTTACCTTTGCACACCTGTATCAAAAAATTACCATATGGGCAGTTACTACATTTCCTAACAAAAAATTTTAGGTCATAGCCGTGTTGTTATGCTGTAATTTTTACGTTAAAAGTTTTAAGGAAACGTGATGTAGAGAGGTCTTTTAAATTATTTAACCAAAGCTGATTATTTGTATGATTTGTCTGCAACTTTGATTTTAATTACTTTCTCAAATAGAAGCTTTTAAATATTTAGAAAAATTGGAGGTTAGTTATATTGTAATTCAATTCAAATTTTAGATTTATTTACAATTTCAGAAGTATTTTTTAATAATCTTCTCTTTTTCCAGCAGAGAGAGATCATCATTGCCTGAATTTAGCTTTGTGACTACAAAAGCAAGACCTGTTCCTGTCTGGAGACGACTGTTATAAATATCATCCTGTCATTTTATGTTTGCCCTTTATCAATTTGAATATATGTTTACATGTACTATAATTAGCGTTTTGTCTTTACAGTTCTCTAAGGGTACATCTGAGTCCAGAAATATATCTGAGTGTGTGCTTTGTCTGACTTTATTCTTAAATGTTTTTCCCCTTTATAGCCATTTATTTTTAAAACACCATAAGAAGGAGAAAGATCTCTTGGTTTCCTAATATGAGATAAATTCATTTTCAGCCTATTTGAGAATTGTGTCCAGGAAATCTATAAAGCCATGATGCTGCGTTCATTAACATGAATTTAGAATGAAGCAAATGATTAAAGAATTAAGCATGGGTTTAGTTTTAATTTTTCTGTTTTAGGATACCTATCTGGGGTTAGGATAAAATAATTTTGAACAGATGATAAAATACTTTTCTACACACGATTATAACTTGCCTTTTCTTCTAAATATATTTACTGAAGTAGTTACCAAGACCACTTACCCAAATATTATTTTTTAATTCTTAGTTCTTCAAAACCATAATACAAAGTGATCTGTAGATTATAAGATCTTGAGAAATATTTATTAAATGTCTAATTTATACAGTTTTTCCATATTGTCCTCACTCGCAATCAAGACTTCAAGGACAATCTTAAAAGCAAGGGGAAATAGTGTTGTGTGTTTAACATTGTTATAGACTATAGTTTTCCTGTCTTAAAAGGTGTGTATCTACATTATTTATTTAGGAGCCATGTGGCTTAGAATTATTTATAAAGAGTATGATTGAGTATTATCCTAAAGATTCATCCAAAATGTTATTTTTTTATAAGGAGCACCCAAAAAAAAAAATAAAAAAGATCCACGAATGTTAAGTATTCCTTCACAGAATCTCATGAGTTTTCTGTGAAAGTAGAAGTTATACTTGGTAAAGTCTATTAGAGAAGTCCAAATTACGCTTCTGTTCACCCTTGTGATTTTTTTTGGGGGGTGGTGGTGTTTGTGTTGGGGGGGGCCCATACATACTCATACTCATTACTTTTGCACAAAGTAGGCTATTTTGCAAACAATTTTTTCCTGAGTACACGTTGTCTTTGTCTTTATGAAAAATAAAAAGAATAAATACATCAGTCATAATGTAAATTATCTGTTTTGATCCACATTAGTTAGCGATAGCGTGGTGGTTATGCTTGGCTTAAAGGTACAGTACACATTTTGTAAGTTCTGATATAATTATGGCTTAAATTAGACTTTCGTTATAGTTCACACTTGCAAACTAGCAGTTAGCCACAGCGAGTTCATAGATATTTCCCAGATTATTTCAGTATTTTTTCTTTTGAGAAAAGATTCTCTGCCCATGTAACAGTGGTTTACCTATTAGGTTACAAACCCAGAGAACATTTCCTAAAGAGACCATACTTACCGTTAATAATTTAATTGGGTAATGGATATGAATCACATACTACCACCCCTTACCTTTATATGTCTTTATAGTGTCATCTTCCTTTTTTTTTCCCTTGCTTTTAAATTAAAAACAAAGCTGAATATGCTATTGGGAATCAGAAGTCAAGATGATTTGGTTTCATTAAGATCATTGCACTTTGTGAAAATTGCTGTGAGATCTGGTAGGTGAGTTACTTAAATTCCCTGATGTTGATAATTAAAGATAACATATTTTCATTATTACATTTTCCTGAATAGGATTCTCATGGAGCTATGTGTAGATAATTGTACAGAATCACTTTTGTGTAACTGAATGAAGCAGTTTACCTCTGCATGATTGCATTATGGAAGCATTTTATATATCTTTATATTTTTCAATATATTTAGATTTTACAATATTTGCTGCACTAGTCATGCTGTATTTGTTTTTTTTTTAAATAGTTTATAAATATCCTCAAAAATACAGATCAACTGAATATTTTTGGTCTTGTTTACAAGATAAATAATACTTTAAAGTGATGCAGCCCCTCAAGTGTCTTAGGAAAAAGTCATTGGTGCTATAAAACCTTTCAATATCATTTTTGAAGCTGTTATCTAGACTTTGCTAGGCTTTAATCTATGATTGCTTGTGACTTAGTCTATGTAGCAGTTTAATTATAAAAGTGGTCTGTGGTGAGTCAGGTAAAGATCCCAGCCCCTTAGAAAAATCCTGTAATTTAATGATATAAATCAGAATAACTATACATATTTATGCCCAGCTTCCTAAAAAGAAAATATTTTCTTCAGTTTGTCATTTGCTCTTTTGATAAGAGGAATGGTGTTTATCTGGCTAAATTAAAAAATGATGCAGTCAGCATGGCTTAGTTTTCCCATATTTCAAATGGAGAACTTTTCTAGTCCTAAAATATGGTGTAATCTATTCTGCTTTCAAGTCTCACCTGTCTTTTACTCAACAGGAGGGCAGGGTAATTAAGATACTTACAGACCATTTGATGAACTGTAAAGAGATGTATTATTTACATTGTACACATTTTGTGTTGATGTGTAGATTTCTACATCTACAAGACTTCATTCCAGCACCTTAGTGAATGTTCTCAAGGTACAATTTTTAGGTATCAACAAAGCATTCATAGAGGTTTACTTTTGATTCCTGAACCTGCTTGGGGTGTGATAATGCTTGAGAACATGTTGTCTGGCACAAGATTTCCCTTAAATGTTTTAGTTTAACTCAGTTTTTGTGGATTTTTGAACCTAAAAACACCAAAGGAGTCTTTTCTTGTCTGGAAGCTGGATTGTTCCAGTTTTTAATACCTGTGCCCATAAAATATCCCATTTCACGAATGTGTGTTGGCATGGGAAAAAAACTTCCCTGCTCTTTGAGTGGAGCGAAAGTAATTGGTTAAGCTGTAGCAGCTTTTTTGTTTGTTTGTTTGTTTATTTCTAAAAGTGATAAAACTTGAACTGAAAAAGGTAAAACTTGAACTAGAAAACTCTTGTATGCCTAGAATGTTTATAGTATTACATGTTTATGGGGTTGTCAACATTTTTATTTATAGTTGAATTATGTTGTTTTCTTTGTTAAATATCCATAATGTTTATTATTTTTATATTTTGAAAATTTTTAAATAAAATAGTCTTACTAAAAAAACAGTTGTTAACTCTTTAAGATTGTCCTGCACCTTGCATTAATTATATTAATGTAGACTACAAAGAAAAATTTGTAGCCTGCAGGCATTGCACAATTGAGAATTTTGAAAATATTTATATAAAGAAATGTCTCCATGTTCCCTTTCTCCTATTTCACTCCCCAGCTTAACTCCCTGACACTTTCAGTTGTTCTTAGTAACCTCTGGTACCTATGTGGCTTTTGTGTTACTGGCCTAGTGACACCTTTACCAAATTCTCCGTATCCTTTTCCCTAATCCCTGCCTCATTACTGCTGGGGATTTTCTCGTTATTCCATTTAGGGGCTAAATAGTTTCTCATTATCGTGATTGGTAAGTGTGAAAATAATATGACTTCAAAGAAGTACATGATTCAGAATGATTCTGAAGAGAAAATGTATATAAAGTGCTTACACTGTCAACTTCCAAAGTCACTGAAGGTTTTTAGAACCTCCCTTCACATTTTCATTTTTTTTAAGATTTATTTATTCATTTACACAAGATCCGGGGTACAGGCCAGATGCGCGGGAGGGTGAGAAGATTCACCAGAGACAGAGTTGGGAACAGAACAGGCAGACTGACGAAATACACTGCTGAGGGGAGCGGTGGGCAAGACAGGAGAGGCCTGCCGCACCATGTGGGACCCTCGCCTGCCGGCCGGCGCTGCAAAAACTGCAGACAGCTTTACAGCCTGGTGCTCAACTGCCTGCACCACCAGGGGAGGCCCCATATTTTCAGTTTTTATCAGAACATTTCTTCTGCTCTGCTTTACCCTGCATGCTTTTCCAGCATTCAGCATATTCATTTCATATTGAATTTTACTGAATATAATGCAGTATTTTGCTTTTTATTGCAACTACATCTTCTATATCATGGGTTAAATAAGTGGTAGTAACTTCCACTTATCACTGCTTGTGTGAGAAAATACATTCTCATCACAAAAGTGTGAAAGTCTTGATTGAAATCTAAAGGAATCTGGTGCAATAGAAGACTGGATTGAAATAGAAGGCATTGGATAATAATAACATGCTTGCTAAAGTTATAAAATATACACACACACTAGCAGCATCTGCAGAATATTTGCAGATTGAGCATGTTCTTACATTCACTTAACCTGAAAAGCGTCTGCATAAAGTATGAATGTTGTCCAAAAAAGACAACCCTTTTAAAAATTCCTTTTCTAGAGTCACATGTAGCTGATGCTATTGTAGAAAAATTTAAAGAGGCACAAAGGATAATAGAAAACTTGTTATCTGGAAATAGTCACCAGACATGTAAAAACGGCTTTCTGTTATATATACTGTTTTGTATTTTCATTTATGATACCAGGTTTATACCATTTTTAAGAACTCCATTTGCAGAGGAATCATAATATGTTGCTGCAATAGTGACTTCCTGGTAATTTCTACAATGTATATAAAATAGCCTTTTGTATACCATAGCAAATTTTTTCCTGGAGCTACAGATTTTTTTTTTTTTTTTATGATTTTGTTACAGCATTTTATAAATATTCAAGAGCTTACAGTCTCATTACTGTAAGTCTATTGAAAGGCAGGACAGGTAATCAGGATAGAATAAAGGACAAGATGGGACCAGAACTTGCATTTTCTAAAGCAATGCCCAAAATACAAGGTGGTACCAAATCATTTATAGCAACAACAAACTCGTGTTTTAATCTCAACTCTTCAAACTGCTCTTCTAGAATTTGTTTTCCTCATGAAGTTCATGAACATTTGTTACTATAACATAATGAATAAAATTGAAAAGAAAATTCAGTAGAAGTGGGAAGATAATGATCACCATATGTTTTCCTTTTATGCCATAAACAGAAGTGGGCATTTCCCCCATTTTATTGGGAAGAATAAAGTTTCTTGTAATCCATGAACATTTTGTGAGCTAACAGTCATGTTACTATCTAATATGCAATATGGTCTGACAATTCCAGTGTTTGAGGGTTTGCAGTGTTATTTGCAGATTTTTTTTTGGGGGGGGGCGTTTTATACTCTTAATGTTATGTATATCGAAGTATACAAGAAAACATGGTATTCAAAGCTATGAGAATAATTTTGACTATCTAAAATAGAATGAAGTACTTGAGGTTTTTGAATTTAGGATGTTCATCTTATTTCAAAGATGATAAGAGTACAAGCTTTTCACATTCTTTAGACATTTTAAATGTTACTTATCTCAAGATCCCATTTAAATAAATTTCAGTGTCTAGAAATACAAGTGACGTTCATAAAGCTAAGGATATTACCAACCTAATTTAAAAAAAATAAAAATAAGGGGCCTCCCTGGTGGCGCAGGGGTTGAGCACAGCGCTGTGAAGCTGTCCACAGCCTCTGTGGTGCAAGTTCCATGCCCGACCCAGGAGCTACCTACATGCTGTAGCAGACCTCTCTTGACTCACCCGCTGCTCCCTTCAGCCATGTATTTCAGTCAATCTGCCTGTTCTTTTCCCCACTCTGGTGAATCCTCTCACCTCCCACACCTCTGGCCTGTACCCCTTGTATGTGTAAATAAATCTTAAAAAAAAAAATCAACTTAGAAAAAAAAGTAATATGTATGATTTAAGACTTGTATTTTATATTAGAAGTCAAAATACTTAAAAATAGATGTTATTTCAATTTTGGCATGAGAAATGAATAGCTGTCAAATTTGTACTAAGTTTAGTGCAATATTTGTTTAGTTCCTTTTGTGGCAAGCAGGTTATAATCCAATTTTACTTGTTTTTCATATCAAGTTATTTGAAGTTAACACAAGGAATGATAGGGAAGAGTTCTGGCACTTAGCATTTGTTATGTCTGAATGAAGGAAGGATTTCAATAAAACCAAACAGCTAACTTGACAAAAATATTCTTTTGAGTATTAATCTGATTATTAGTCTTAACAACCCTTACATGTATTTATAATACCAAAGTGGATGGAAACTACATGCATTAAAATGTAATAGAATCCCAATCAGCCATTCTTTGGTTAAACTAAAGGGGTAGAATTTTAAAGTTTTGTTTTGTAAAGATCACCAGTGAAAAAGAATCCCATATTGGGTGTGCTCACAAAAAAGAGTCATCTAAAATGCCATGGAAGGGAAGAAGAGGCTGAACCGTTTATTCCTGCATTTGTGGAACTTCTCATTGAAAATGGCCTGGAAGCAAGTAGTACTTGTTTTTGCCTCCCCATCCCCTGCCCCCCCACTAATAAGCTTTAATAAGCACCAAAAGACAAAAACTTAATAGAAAAGCATGTCATTTAAGAGGATGTCTTGCTTTTTCATCTTTTTTGTTTTGACATGGATGGTTAAGAACCTTGAGTTTGGTTTCTTTTTTTTATTGAGGTGACTCTGATTTACAACATTGTATGTGATTTAGGAATATAGGATCACACTTTTCAGCAGTCTATTAATCATACCACACCCACCACCAAGACACCCAAAGTCCTCCAACATAGTCCATTGTGCCCCTTCCCCACTTTGCTTTTACCCCGTTTTCCCTTTAGATCCTCAATTCTACAGTCAAATTTCTAGGGTTTTGTAAATGGTTAAGTTTTATCTGACCCTTTGTATTGTTGCTCTGTAGTCCAAATATAAGTGGCACCATCAGGTACTGTCTTCCTCTTTCTAACTCATTTTGCTTAGCATAATCCCCTCCAGTTCCATCCATGTTGTCATAAATGGCAAGAGTTTACCTTTTTCATAGGTGAATAGAATTCCGTTGTGTATATTTACTAAATCTTCCTGATCCACTCACCTCTCTGGGCTCTTAATTTGTTTCCATAGCTTAGCTATTGTGAGTAGTGTTGCATTCCTCAGGTAATGAAGTGAAGTGGAATTGTAGAATCAGTGGAATTGACAGGTCATATGGTAGATCTACTTAATATTTTGGAAAATCTCCATACTGTTGTGTAGGGTCAGGACCAGTCTACATTCCCACCAACAGCATGAGTGTTCCTATTTTTCCACATCCTCACCAACACTTGTCTTTGGTCTTGTTTAGAGCCACCCTCAGAGGTGTGAGGTAGTGGTCTTGTTTATATGAGCCACTCTCAGAGGTGTGAGTATCTTTCTGGTTTTGATTTGCATTTTTCTGATAAGTGAAGAGGATTTTTTCATGTGTCTGTTGGCCATCTCTATATCTGAAGAAGTGTCTAGCACCTCTCCCGTTTTTTGATTGGGTTGTTTGAATTCTTTTTTATTGATTTTTTGGGAAATTTTGGATATGAGTCCTTTGTCATATATGGTGAGCACATCTACTCGTGTGTTGCTCATAAGGAAGCATTCAAGCTAAGGGTGATGATAGCAACCTGAATGAATTCCAAGGTTTCCTTAAGAATTCCCTTTTATCTGCCACAAGAGCACCTCAGCACAATTTACATTATCACATAAAGCCATAAGATCATTCAATCCTAAGGTTCAGATTCAGTGTCCCAAGATTTTTGTGTGCTGCACCATATAACCTGTGATTACTTTTGGCCAGTTGGACCTGGGATTTTTCCAAGTAGGTACACTTGGGGCATACATGTGTATAATCCTAAAGTATGTTAAAATACCCCTCGACATTCTTCAACCCTAACAAAGGGCTTTAACCAGAGCAACTGTATAACAATTCTACATAGGTTTTTATTTGATTAAGGATATTGAAGAGCCATGTTCTGTCTACATTTGTATCTTCCACATTGTGTTATATTCAACTGTTTTTATATGCTCATCTGACTCCCATTTCAACTTTGTTGTTTTTAAAAACTGAAGGATGTATATAGTCCTATAACTATTAAGGAAATTAATTCATAATTAAAAACTTCCTTCCTAAAAGGAATCTCCATGCCCAGATGTTTTAACTGGTGAATTCTAAACATTTCGGGATGAATTAACGCCAATTCTACAGAATCTTCCAGATAATAGAAGTGGAGGAAATACTTCATTTTTTGATGTTAGCATTATCTTGATGCCAAAACCAGACAGAGAAGTACAAAAGTGAACCATAGACCAATATCC